CCCGGCCCGCGAGGGCGCCGGCGGCGGCGAGCAGCTGGTGGACCAGCTCATCCGCGACCTGGTGAGTGGCCGCCGCCTGCTGCCGGGGCCCGCCTGGCCCGCGCCCCGGCGCACACCCCCCAGTGCGTTGTGCAGTGACTGTGCCACGGTGAGGGGACGATGGGCAGAGGCACCCGCGCCTCCGTCTGCGTCTCTGGAGGCCGCGGTCCCAGCGGGGGCGGGCGTGTCCCGGAGTTGGCGGTGTCTGCACAGATTTTTGGATGCCGCAACTGGGGGCGGGGTGGTTGCTGCTCGTACCCAGCGGGTAGAGGCCAGGGATGCTCAGGAACATCCTGCAACGCACAGGGCAGCACCCACCGAAGATTATCTGACCCAGAATGTCACTAGGTACGAGACGGAGAAATCCTGCTCCAGGAAGACCCCTAACTTTTAGTTAACAAGTTTGCCTTTGGGGAGGAGGACCCACGACACGGATGGGAAGGAGTGTTAACTTTTCTCCATATGCTGTTTGGATTATTCAGGTTTTTCTAACTGTGCGTGTATTACTTTAAAAACATTAAAGTTTTAATTTAAACTAATTTAAGCTAACTTAATTTAAACTAAAAAAAAAAAAAAACATTTCCAATTAAAGCAGGAAAAAAAGAGGAAGAATCCTTCAGGCACTACCATTAGCATGGAGGGTCTTATCATTTTGTGGGACATGGATCCCGTCAAGAATCTGGAGGAAGAGGAGGTCCCTGTCTCAAAAAAAAAAAAGAAGCCCCCTTCACAAAGTTAGGACAATCAAGACCACCTACAACACGTCCATGGTTAAGAGAAGACAGCAGGTTTTTCTTTTATTGATGTAACATTGGTTTATAACATAAATTTCAGGTGTACATCATTATATTTGGATTTCTGCGTAGACTACATCATGTTCACCACACAAACACTAATTACAATCCATCACTGTACACATGTGCCCTATTACTCCTTTCACCTTCCCCTCTACCCTTTTCCCATCTGGTAACCACCAGTCTAATCTCTGTATTTATGTATTGGTGCTTTTTTTTTTTATCTTCTGCTTATGAGTGAAATCAAAGGATATTTGACTTTCTCTGACTGACTTATTTCGCTTAGCGTAGTACCCTCGAGGTCCATCCGTGTCATTGCAAATGGCGAGATTTCACCTTTTTTATGGCTGAGTAGTATTCCATTCCAAGTATATCACATTTTCTTTCTCCATTCATCCGTTGATGGGCAGTAGGTTGTTTCCAAGTCTTGGCTATTGTGAATAATGCTGCAGTTAACGTAGTGGTGCCAATATCTTTTTGCATTTATGTTTTCGTGTTCTTTGGTTAAATACCCAGCAGTGGAATAGCTGGATCATATGGTAGTTCTATTCTTAATTTTTTTGAGGAATCTCCATACTTTTTTCCATAGTGGCTGCACCAGTTTAAATTCTCACCAGCAATGAATGAGGGTTCCCTTTTCTCCATGTCCTTTCTAACACTTGTTATTTTTTTGTCTTGTTAATTATAGCCATTCTGATGGACTTAAGGTGATATCTCACTATAGTTTTTATTTGCATTTCCCTAATAATTAGTGTTGAACATCTTTTCATGTGCCTGTTGGCCATCTGTATATCTTGTTTGGGAAGATATCTTTTCAGATCCTTTGCCCATTTTTTAATTGTGTTGTTTTTTTGTTGTTGAGTTGTATGAGTTCTTTATGTATTTTGGAGATTAACCCGTTATCAAATACATGATTTGCGGATGTCTTCTCCCAATTGTTAGGTTGTCTTTGTTTTGTTGGTGGTTTCCTTTGCTGTGCAAAACAGCAGGTTTTAATGGTTCGATTTAGATTAGGCTCAAAGGAGTCTTCTGCAGCTTCCCAAAACAGTAGTAATTCTGTAATTGGCAAGGTGTTTTGATTAAGTGATGGCTTAATATTTAATGTAATATGTAGTTATATTCAAGTAACATTAATAGCTATATGAATTTTCCCCAAGTGTCTGATCCTGTGTTCTGCCTTATCTCTAAGGTTAGAGATAACCATTTTTGTAAATGTGTGTGTTATAAACATTCTCATTTAATGTGACAATTCTTATACGTATGAAAATTCGTGCTAGCATCATGTAAAAAGTGGGTCATCACTGAAGAAGTCTGACGGATGTAAAAATCTTTCAGTGCCTTGGGAAGGTGGCTTAGCACCTGACAAGTTGCTCAGGCCAGGCCAGATCTATGCAGAAGTTATTCCTATGGAAGTAGATTTGTAGGCTAAGGCAAGACTGGCTTATCGAGTTAGAGAAAAAAGGGAAAGCTGGTTGTTAGGACAAAGGCACATTTGGGGCCTCACAGCTGAAATCCTCCCCACTGAGTTTGCCAGTGTCTTCAGGCTTCACAACAATCCTGGGAGGTATTGTTAGTCTCCTTTTACAAGTGAAGAAACTCAGAGGTTTCCTGTAATTAGCCCAGGGATACCCAGCTGATAAGTGCTAGGGATTGGATTTGGATCCAGGTCTGTTGGACTCTAAATTTTACCACGTAGGAGTTTTGCAAACTTGACTTGCAAGTTGACTTACACCTTGCTAGGGTGTGAGAATCACCCTAGCCCTTATTAAAAGACAGGTTCTGGCCTGTTCCCCACACCTGCTGAATCAATCTCCAGAGGAGGGGCCCAGAAATCCTATGGGTGGGGTGACCAGGCAAGTTTGAGACCTTGTCTCTGCTGTATAGCTTCCTTTGGTTTGAGGTCCTGATTCTCAAGGCTTTCCAGCACTAACACTCCTGAAGGATAGGCATTGATACCAAAAATTAGTGGAGCCCTAAATGAAGTATTTTAAAAATGGAAGAGGCCTGCCTACTGCAGGATCCAAAGGGCACATCAGAATCTAAGTTTCATATGTTGTTAGAAAAAGCCTGCCCTAGAACATGTGCCCTTGATCTCCTCTGCCCCCTCAGAGTCATCACGTTAGCTACTGGTAGGCTCTATGCTACCATGAGCAGCATCCAACCTGTGGGGCACCTCTAATTTTTTTGAGTACTTTGCAATCATCAGTAACACTGCTATAAATAAAGTAATAATTCATTGCATGCTTACTTGCTCCTTGGTACTGTCTTAAGGATTTAGAGACATTATCTTCAGATCTCCCAACAGCCCCAGTGGCCATTATTAGCCCCATTTGGCAGAGGAGCGTTAGGAAAGTAACTGATTTTTAAGGGGCAGTGAAGCTACCCAATATCGTAAGTCTGAGAAATGATGGTAACCTTTATAGAGAAGGCTTGGATTCTTATGTCAGTGTTTGTAAGCCCGGAAGCTCACAGAGGCAGGGAATGCAAATGAGTGAAGTAGGCCAGGTGTTGCTCATTCAGTCCTCTTTCCTAGTTCATCAGGTGTTTTGTTATGCATCTTTTCCAGATTCCAACTATACTTCTGTAATGATTTGTGTCATATTGCTGTTGTTCTTTTTTGTCACATTAAATATTAGACATGACAGATAGTGTAGAAATTGTCTTCATGCTATCCCTAAAGAAAAATAACAACCATTTTTCTTAAAATGTGGCCCTCGTCTTGGTCTTATTTTTCCATTTTTTAAAGTTTTTTTTAAAAAAATCAAACTATTGAAGTGTACAAGTCATAAATGTACAGGTCAAATAATTTTCAAGAGTCTACATGTCCACATAAACAGCACCCAGATTACTGAACTGCATTACTAGCTTGTCAGAACCCCCGTGGGTTCTCTTCCGCCCAAGGGTAACCGCTCACCTGACTTCTGACACCTTATTTTAGTTTTGTCTGTTTTTGAACTATGTAAGTAGAATCAGACAGCACGTACTCTTTTGTGTCTGGGTTCTTGTGCATAGCATTATGCATGAGATTTATCTCTATGAATATGCCACATTTTATTTATTTATTCTACTGTTGATGGGCATTATTTGTAACCAGTTTGTTAATACCCAGTTTGGGACTATTGGGAATAGCGCTGCTGTGAACATTTTGTACATCTTTTGGAACATGTGTACTCATTTTTCTTGAGTATACCCCTGGTTGTGGAATTGCTGGGTTATGAGGTATGCATATGTTCAGCCTTAGTACATATTGACAAACAGTTTTCCAAAGTGGTTGTACCGGTTTTCTCATTTATGATAGTAACTCGAGTATGTGGAATATAGGATTTCACCTTCTTTGCCTTAAATATAACAACACCTAACTGAGATGACACATGGCAATGGAACTTGAACCCAGCATGGGTGAGATGATAGGGACAAACTGGGAAATTCATGCCATGGCTGGGTTAAAGGTGGGAGCCACTGTTTAGGTCACCTGGTTCTCGTCATGTAGGAATGTGTTCCCAGTGTTGCAGAGTCTTTAGATTTTTGTCTTTTAATTGGGAATATGTATTTTCCTATGGCTCTGTCAGTTTTTGCTGCATAAAAACACCCAAAACTTTGGCTTAAAACAACACTATTTAGGGGCGGCCTGGTGGCATAGTGGTTAAGTGCACGCGCTCCGCTTTCGCGGCCCAGGGTTCATGGGTTTGGATCCTGGGCGCACACCCATGCACCGCTTGTCAAGCCATGCTGCGGCTGCGTCCCATATAAAGTAGAGGAAGATGGGCACGGATGTTAGCCCAGGGCCAATCTTCCTCAGCAAAAAAGAAGAGGATTGGCATTGGATGTTAGCTTGGGGCTAATCTTCCTCACACACACACAAAAAACCCAAAAACACTATTTATTTAGCTCACCATTTTGTAGGGTGGTGGTTTGGGCTGTGGATGAACTCACTCACGTCTGAGGTTAGCTGCTGGTCAGAAGCTCTGTGCCTGGGGGTTGGCTAGTTCTGTGTGTGTGTATCTGGGTTATGTGTGTC